GAAGAAGAAGAAGAAGAAGAAGAAGAAGAAGAAGAAGAAGAAGAAGAAGAAGAAGAAGAAGAAGAAGAAGAAGAAGAAGAAGTTGTTGTTGTTAGAGGGCCAGCAGACACTGGGGCTGGGGCTCGATCCCCTGATCCCCCATGTGCCATGCTAGCCCCACCCCTGCAGCACACTGAGAAGGCAGTTGAGACTGGGAGAATCACTACGAGTCCAATCTGTGTAGTTAGGCCCTGTAGACCCTGTAGACCCTGACCTAAATACATAAAAAAGAGGTTGTTAGGACCAGTTTCCACCCTCAGATTGATAACTCTATCAGCCCTTTGCTTGCAGCAGTGGCTCTTTGCTGGACAAGTTGAGTTCTTCAGTGTTTCCCACTGTGGTTTAGAAATCACAGCACTAAAATGAAAGTCTTTATTCCTAAACTGAGAGGCCTTCTGTTCGTTCTCTGATAGCTTAGGGATTCTTTACTTTTCCCTTTCATTAATGTGAAGAAGACATTCGTACAGGATGGATAAAGGTTATAGAAAAGGAAATTAGAGAAAGTGATATTTGTCAGAAGTCCCCAACTCCCATTTGACTGCTTGGCTCCTGGAAACTAATGGCTCAGTTTGGCTCAGTTTGTAGCTCTGTAAAATACTCCATGTGGTGCTCTGGACAACCTTCACATCCATCTAGAATTCTGCCAGAAAGCACCCATTTAAAGAGCTTCCACCAAGAGTTATCTGTGATTTTAAGTATTTTTATCCAAAACATATGCATTTAGGAAAGAAACAAAATCTTAAACAGAAATCTTTGGAAATTTAACAAATAAAATCAAGTACTTAATAGTGACAAATACCTTTAGCACCTATAATGTTTTAAACATGGTATCAAATTAGTCCAGAAGAAAACATTCAGGCAATAGCATAGTAGTGCCTGTACTACCGTTCTACTCCAGTTGAACTAAGGAACCACTGTGTGAATAGGGAATGAAAGGCAATCCTGAGATAAAGGAGTTACACTGACTTACACAGACAGAGCCTGTTTTCTAATACACACTTTGTAAAATACCTTGATATCCTCAAGGTGTTCATTTGGTTCACAATGCATATACCCAACCTCACTGTTGAGTATGATCTCATAAACTGGCAGTCATTAAGCTGAGGGGAAAAAAATGCAAACTAAGTTTTATACTTCATAGCCAGTCTCTCCCTGGCTAATTATATCCTCTCAGAAATAAACCAAAATGTTCAAGATTGTTTCTGGCATGCATGGAGCTGTCCAATATAAAATTAACATACTGTCTGTACAATTCAATATTAATGGTGATAATTATTTGCCCTACTTGTTCTCTCCTAAAGATATCCACTTAAAAAACCCTATGGACAAAATCAACATCTCCATTCCAGTCAAAATTTGTTTAAGTTGTGGACCTTCCCAACCCTTAAAATCTTAAGAATATTTCCAGTGCAGTAAAAGTCTCACCCTATTTTGTGCAAGCAAAACTTAATTTGGACAGGAGGTATGACACAAAGGAGAAACAATGAAGATGAACTGAATCACACTCCATGCTGTTTTCAAAATTAATATACCAATAACTACAGAAAAACCAAGATTTGCCCAAGATATTTTTCTAGCTCACATGAGAGCAACCTAGAAGTACTGACTCAGTCCACCAATCAACGGGCAAAGCTTGCTGTCAGTGCTGTGGTTTTGACCTATTTCCACTCCCTCACTCCTGTCATGATTCAATTGGCTCTCAGACTAATGGGAACCATGGAAACCTTGGACATATGGAGTATTCCTGAAAATGAAAAAAAATGATTTGATATGTTAGCATAATAATATTATTTTTTAGTAATATACTCAGGAAATCCAAAAGTTTAATAGAAGCATCGAACACAAGCCTAATTCTATGCTATAGCATAAAGGATTCTTCTTTCTTCAGCAGTTTGTTTAAAAAGTAACATTTTATTGAGATGAATGTTTGACTATATTAAAATTATTTCCAAGGCTTCCTCTATTACAGCTACTAACAAATATGATACAAAATGCTGACTATGAAGCCTGACTTCTCCTTGCTATAATCTCATCTTGTTTTCCTACTGGGAAACCAGAGGCACAGTTCTTAGCAGGTACCTTGAAAGATTCAGAAGCAAAAGCAATTGCAGTCCTAACTCCCAGGTCTGGATTTTTTCTTAATGTATTCAAGAACTCATGCAGTTTTAAGTTTCTTTAAATACAATTTTTGTTCTTTGTAGAAGTAAAAGTTGTCAAATGTCTCACTACATTCTGAAAATTTAAGGTAGGAAAAACATATGCTCCACATTTATTTACTTTTGTAATAGAAAATTCCTCATCCAACAATGTTCAAAACTCCAGATTAATTTTATAGCAGGGGTAGTGAGTGGTCTCCACCTTCTCCAGGCTTCTAATAGGTGTCAAAATAGGTGATTGATTCAAAGTTCTACCCTGCCATGAAAAAAACAAAAATCAGTCCACTGGAAAAACAAGAATATACTAAAATACATTTTTGTTGTAATATAGTACCAAGCTACATTTCTAAAATCACCAATGAATTCTATGTTCTTTCTTGAAGGAAGATTTTTCTGACATATGCCAAGTCAAAAAACAAACAGACAAACAAAATCCTTTGTAAGACTCATATAATGCATTTATTGAATACTAAACTAAGTCCATGAATATTTTTGGGATTTGATGGATAAAAGTTCTGAGACTAAATGAAAACTGAAAATGCTATGTGGATCCTGGGACTAAATCTTTTCAGTATCATCCTCCCTCTATGAATAGCTTCCTTAAAGTTGTAGTGTCTTGTACTTTTTCAACCTAGCTTTTTGTTTCATGAAATTTTCTTATTTAAATCTTCTTTGTTTCATGGATAATTTTACATATTTTAATACAAGGCAGTTCATCAAAATAAACTGAAGCATGTAATCAATCTGTTTATTCCTAATTAGGATGAATCTTTTCTTCAGATTTCCAGTTGAGGGAACACATACAGGAGGCTGGCTCTGAAGGACTTACATAGGGTCTTAGGAAAGACAAGAATGTAATTCACATTCTTTCTACTGAACACTACTGAAAGGAGCCTTCGACCATTAGCTGGCAGGAGCTGCAAAGGTAAGTGCATGTTCTGGTAAGGGCAACTACTGGTATTGCTCTGCCAACATTTCACAAAGCTGGCAGCACCTTTAGAAGCCAGGTCGAATTTTTAACAGCATCTCCCTCACGCATATGGAATTTTTAAAGCATTTACTCAGCTTCTTTGGCTAGAAATTTGTTCCCTGAACCAGAGGGATGAGGAAAGGGGCTGTCTATCAGAGAGAAAATATTTGAAACAAAGGCAAGAAGCTTTGTTCAAGGGGATGGGTGTGATCTTGACCCTTCATTAACTTCTTTTACAAACATATGTGAATTACTCTGGTAGAAGATGCCTAGATGAGGCCCACTTATAAGCAAACTCTTCTGTGTGGATGGCAGTAGGAAAAATATTAACATTAAAGTGTAATTTCATCCACTGTACTCAACTAATGTCCACAATGGTCTCTTTATAAGGTAGTTTATTTTTGTAACCCAAGAATTGAGTGCTGGGTAACAAAGTAATGTGATCAAAGTGGTCTCCTTACTAAGCAGTCTCTTTAGTTTATTTTTATAACCTGCAGTTTGTTGTGCATTCTGGGAAACAAAGAAAAAATTACATAGAGTTGACCAAAATGCATGATGTATGACAAGTGGGAAGAGACAGAATAAAATTATAATAAAGTTGATAGAGATAGAGATATTCTTAATAAGACATATAATTTAAGACATACTGAACAGTATTTATGACTATTCAAAGAAACCATCTATGCCACATATTTTATATCATTGGTTTAGAAGTGAGTAACAAGAAAGAAACTATGACACAGCCCAGCAGTCTCTAGGCCAAAACAGTGTCAGAGTTTAAAATTTTCTCTGCCTTGCTGCCATTATCATCTTATGTAAGTCACTTCATTGCTCCAAAACTTTCATTCTACATATAAGATATTCAACTTTCAAAGCTATTATAAGAAATACATGAGATTACAGTAATACCTCAACTCAGGAATGCTTCTGTTAGCAAACAATTTGGCTCACAAACAAAAGTATTCAGCTAAATTTTTCTCTTAATCACAAATTCTGCATCAGATGACAAACATGACCACAGTCATCTTTCCCACACCAGCACAAACACAGCCATCTTCTTCAAAAATGTAACACATTAACTTAATAAACCAAGGTGCCACAGTATCATGTGTGGTCAGACATAAATTCTAAACAGGTCAGTAAATGTTGGGCATCACCATGGTCCACCTCACGGCCATGAATCCTATGCTCATGCTGCAGCCCTGTTCTTAGGCCCATGTGTGGGAAGACCACACAGATGCTTACATTTGATGCTCTCTCACAAAAGCTGCAAACTCAGGATCATTGGCGTACAGTTCCAGAATTCTCATTCTCTCTTGAATTTCCTTTAAAAAATAAAAAAGAGGCCAATTTGCATTGGAACAACCTCAATAGTCTTTTAAAGAAGCACTTTAATTATGAAAAGGAACTATGAGTTTCTGGGTTGTCCAAGGGAATGTTGTAAGGAAGAATTGCTTTAATGTTCCATATGTACTGCTCTGGATATTACATGTACTGCTCTAACTCATATTTCTAAGAAAAAAAGGAAGAAAAAAGAGAGCATGTGTTAATAACGGAAAGAAGAGTCACTGGATAGGGAATAAACTATAGCTAAAAGTTGAATAATTTCTGAATACCACTGAAAAACATCATGAGGCAAGAACTAATCATGAAATATTTCATCCTCTCATGAGCCACCTGCATGCACACACACACACACACACACACACACACCCCTGTGCACACAATAGCAGCAGCAGCCATAACAGCACAGTAATGAAAATTCAGTCTCCTACCTCTTTGGAAAGGCCGCTACTCTCGTACATCTGTCTGATTTCTTCTCTACTCAGGCCACCAAGCACATCTTCATTAGCAGAGCTGTAGAAGGGCTGCTGGGGACAGGGCTCCTCGTATGGCTCCCCTCCAGCCATTTGGCTGTCAAAGGCAGGGTTGTGCTTTACAGCATTCTCCATGGATGAAAGGCTATCGGACTCCCTGCTAAAGTCACAAAAAGATATCATTGACTTGGTTCTTCTTTGACACTCAATTACTTGGAAGATTATGTGAGACAAGGTCTCTACTGGAAAAGGGAAAGAAGAAAAATGGACACAAGAAGAAGGTGGCTGTGTAAAAATATTCAGGTCAACCTCAAAAATTATTTTTCAGATATTACCATTATTATCTTCTCAACTGTATATAAGGATCCTGTGGAATTTTTCCGTATTTCATTCATCTTATTTTCCCACAATACCTCAATAAATGTCAGTTGGGAAATGTGTTTCCCAGTGGATAGTTTTTCGTTCAACTAATACAGCTCCATCATTCCCAGAGGTATACATATTTAAAAATCAGTATGGGGTCAGGGTGTAAGATTAGCTCAGTGGAGTAAGTGCTTGCCCGGCAAGCACAAGGTCCTGAATTTGATTCCTGGTACCACCTAAATAAATAAATAAATAAACAAACAAGCAGTATGTAATCACATATAGAAAAAGGAACATTTCTATGGGAGTTCCATCCATAGTGCAATGGATTGTGCATGGGACTTCTACAGTAGTCCCTCGCTGTTTGGCAATTTGACTTTGACAGACTCACTGTTTCACAGGTTTTTGAAAAGAAATTAATCTAAATTATTTATCATGGATTTTTTGCTACATTGTGGGATTTTGTGATAGTGTGTAGTACTGTATACGTATTTATATGTGCAATATTTATGGTTTTAATGTTTGCCTAAAAAAATTAAAATATATAAAAATATATTTAAAATGTTAATTGTAACATATTAAAAGAATATTAAATCAAAGTAAAATACTTTTCTTTTTTTAGTACAGGGTCTACAGGGTCTCACTACAAAGATCGGACTTGTAGTGATCTGCCTGTGTTCAGCCTCCCAAGAGTTGGGATTACAGGCACATGCCACCATGTCCAATCTCAATCACTGTCTCAGTGTGCCACCAGGACGGGGCCAGGACAGCATGCTGGGGCTCAAACCCCAGCCACTGTGCTCTGCATAAGCAGGTACTTTAGTCTACTGAGCTATCTGGCCAGCCCTAAAATACACTGTTTACAGTACATATTTCTTTAGCAGGTGGATACACACTGCACCATACATTATATAGGTTTAAAAGCTTAGAAAATGGTTAAGAACATTAGAAGTGCTTTTAAAAGTGTGAGAAAGGATTATAAGTGTGTGGGAAGGGTTTTTAAAGCCTTAAAATACATATAAATATTAAAATAAATATAATGTCGCTACTTCGCTGACTTTCACTTATTGCAGGGTGTCCAGAACGTAACCCCTGTGATAAGTGAGGGGCTGCTGTACATTGCTGGGGAAATGTAACTAGTGCAACCTTATGGAAATCGATGTGGAGATTCCTCAGAAAGTAAAAAAGATCTACACGCACTCAACTCAGCTACTTCCCTTCTATGAATCTTCCCAAAAGATTAATGCCATTGTGTTACAGTGATGCCTGCATAGCCATGTTTATACCAGCACACTTCACAATAGCTAAACCTTGGAAGCACTCACTGTGCCCAATGGTTAAATGGGCCGAGAACATGTGGTATTTATACCCAATGGACTGCTACAATGTCGTAAGAAGGAGCACAAGCTATTTGTAGGAAAATGGGTGCACCTGGAAAGCATTATGGTAAGTGAAATTAACCAGACTCGCAAGCTTAAATATCACATGGCTTCTCTTATATAAATATAAAATATAAGCAGCACAATAAAACATAGCCAATAGAAAACTAAGAAGATAAATCTTTCATAGACGGGAAGGGCACCAAAAGTTGAAGAGGGGGAAGAGAAAAGAAAAGGGGTGAAAAAATAATTTAGATGTGTTATGTAATCATTGTGTCTGCAAATATAAACAAATTTATAAAAATATTAAAATGGGAAGGGTGGATCCCTTTCCACAGTTTGCCTGGACATCTGTGTAGACCTCCCTTGAGTCAGCTCATGGCTCACTCAACCAGCTAGCAAGAGTTCCAACCACTTAGGCAAATGTCTATTCTTCTGCTCTTCTAAAATGCCACAACTGCTAGAGATGTAACTCAGTGGCTTGAGCGCCTGCCTGGCAAGCACAAGGTCCTGAGTTCGATCCCTGGTACCAAAAATAAATAAATTAAATTAAAATAAATAAATAGAATGTCACAACTATTGCTAAAACTTTTAAGAATCTACTCCCCAGAAGAGCCTATGAGACAGCTCAGTGAACTAATCACAAGGACCGGAGTTTGATCACTGGCACCACAGGCCATGCTGGCCCCACCCCTGGGTGCCCTGAGCTGGACACCAAGACCAGGTGTGATGGCGCATACCTGTAATCCCAACACTGAGGAGACTGAAAGGAGGATCACTACAAGTCCCAGCTGCATAGTGAGTCCCTGTACCAAATACATTAAAAAAAAAAAAAAAATCTACTCCTCAAGCAGAGCTAGTTCATTCCTCATCTAGGCTCCTCAGCATCTCATTCATCATGTGGCTCATGTTTCTTTCCATTGCAACACCCCACTAACAACAAGGTCCTTGATTTTCTCCTAAAAAAATTTAGATATATAGCTCTCTCCACTCTACCTACAGCTTTATCCAATGTACACTGGATACACAGTAAGTACTAAATGAATGAGTAAACAGAACATTTTATTCCATCAAAGAGGTTTTTTCAAAATAAAAAGAGCCCTTTTCCTTATTTACCTGAATGGCCTCCTTCTTTCCCTCCTACCATGTGGAGCTTGAAGAGTTCTGACAAGGAAGAAGATGACGATAGAGCAGACGAGGAGCATTCCAGCCACAGAGGCTATGGTGATGCCAATGACCAAAGGCTCAGACACGAACTCCTCACAGTGCTCACCTCGGTACCACCAGTTCTCACCTACACGGCATCTGCAATGAGGACCAAATCCAAAATCTGAATCATCTTGCTCAAAGTGATAATGAACAGTAGAACCTTCATTGGAATTGGAAAAAGGAGAGATACAAATGCTGACTTTATGAAGCTTCATTAAAGAATTAACTATGAGGCTATGATGTAGTCAGTCATAAAGCATTTGCCTAAGCAGGTGCAAAGCCCTGGGTTTGGTCCCTAATACTGGGACAAGAAAACCTAGGTTAAATGTGCACGTGACCCAAAGCTGTACATAACACCTGGAAGATCTAATAGAACCTCAGTGACTATCTCTAAATGATTAAATAAAAAGCTTTAAGTATTCCATTTAACCTCTTTATTTATAAATAATGAAAAAGAGGCACAAGAAGAAAAGTAAGTGGCATTAGGTTATACAGCCAATCAGTAACAGAGCTGGATCTAGAACAGAGTTCTTTGGGCCCTTCATATCTTTTTACTGCACTAAAGAAATCCCTGAAACCCTGATGCCATGTACTTGTGTGAAAAATGACTTCAATATCCACAGAAGCAAGGAAATTGCTGCTTTGCAAAACAGTAACAATTTCTCTGGATGCCAAGAAATTGTTTTTCCTGTTAATATTCTAGCTAAAGTACTTATTTTAACAAAAGGGTATGGATCATTTATACTTATCTGTTTTTGGATAGTTATGCCAGCATTGCCAACTGTGACACATATAAATTTTCCTGCTATGTATGTTATTCCTATGTATTATAAGCACCTTCTCCTCTTACAGCCATACAGCTTTGGCTGTGTGTTTGTTTACTTTGTTTGGCTTTGTTTAAGAAAGGTAGGTAGGAAAGTATGGTCAGACTAACCCAATCTGTACATCTACAATGTTCTAATTGATTCCATCTTTAATAAATAGATCCTAGGTGTGCTTAAAGGAAAATATATTTGTTGTCACTTTGAGACCTTCAAATACTACTTGTTGTACTTTATTTTGATTACTCAGTGGATCAGCAAGGAGCTCAAAGGCATTAAGAATACAATCAAGCAGAACAATGTGTGCTCTTACATTCAGGTATAAAGTCTCAATCTTATGTCTAAAACATAAAAACATTTGAAGAACAGTGTCTTTATCATCACCACTGAAAATCATAATGTAGGGCTGTGGAGATGCCTCAGCAGTCTAAGTGCCCATCTAGGCAAGCACAAGGAACTAGAATAGACCCCCAGATACCACATGCCATGCTGGCCCCACATCAAGAAAGGGTATGGTGGAGCACACCTGTAATCCCAGCACTAGGGAGGCTGAAACAGGAGGATCACTACAAGTCTCAGCTGCATAGCGAGACCCTGTACCAAATACATTTGTAAAAAAAATTAAAGGTCTCTAGTCAAATACTCTGAAAATGATACATTTAGAAAAAATTTTGATAACTCTCAAATAGAATAAAATTACCAAATGCAAAGGATAAATATTAAGGCCTATTCAAATGGCCAAGTCTTCACATCAGAATTAGATGGTATGGGGGCCGGGAAGATGGCTCAGTGGAATAAGTGCTTCTCTGGCAAGCACAAGGGCCTGAGTTCAATCCCTGGCTCTGCCAAAAAAAAAAGAATTAGATGGTATCTACCCATTGCCAAACAATTAAAAAAAAAAAAAGGTGCTGAGGATACATCTCAGCAGCACAAGTGCCTGCCTGGCAAGTGCAAGGTCCTGAGTTTGATTCCTAGATAGATAGATAGACAGACAGATATCACAATAAACATGATTTCCCTAAAATTTTAGGTATAATACCTTTTTATTTAAAAGAAGTATCTAAAATGCAAAAATCTAAACATACCTACAAATGGCCCCATGCCCAGGCATAATGTCACATTTTCCATCGTTCAAGCAGAAGTTAGGCTGCAGGTCACAGAGACTCTGACAAGGTAGGTCATCCACACTCTGGTACCCTGGGTAGCATCTGCACTTCGCTTCTCCACTCCAAGGGTTGACCAGACACTCAGAAAACTCATTGCAGGCTTGAAACTTGCAAGGGTTGGCTTCATCACCTTAAAAACCAAATAAGTCAAAACATGATGCAAAGAAAGGCAAAAAAAAAAAATGTGATTCATCTTAGATTGATAAAATGTGTCAAATTTCCTTGAAACTCAGAGTCAAATCATAAAACCCACGGCCCTTGCAAGGCACTAAAGTTATATCAAAATCTTAAAATCAACGTCATGTAACCACAGATCTAAATTAAAGTTTTCATAATCATTTCCATAAACCTTATCTTATAGTCTACCCCAGTCTCTGTACACTGACACAAGCCTGCCCTACACTGAGACCATAGAATGAGGTGAGAAGGCCCAGAGAAGAACTGATAAGAAGCCTCAGGGGTGGGGAGAGCCAAATAAGACCAGCCTTAGCATTAGTCTAGATTTGTGGAAGCCAAAGTTAGAAAAATAAACCATTCCAGTATCTCCTCAGATCATACCCAACAATATTTTGGCCTCAGAAAATTTAAAGATAATGAAAGATAACAAAAAAAAAATTAACTAGGGCAATCACCAGTCAAAACTGATACAAGACATTGACCATAGATGGGCCTTCAGCAGTGGTGGGGTTCCATCACATGGCCTTCATTGCTGAATAGGAATATCAATAGCAAAGGGGCAAATGGTGACTGACATAGATGCTAATAAAAGACAAATAGGTGGAAATGATTCACCAATTTGTTTATAGGAAAAAAGTGTAAAGTTTAGCTTGAAAACTAAAGGGAATTTTTTAAAACCCAGCATAGGCTCTTAGTTTCAAGAAAAATTAATAAGGTTTTGAACTGCAATGATTTTCCTTAATGCTCTAGAGACTGAAGACAAGTTTGCAGAAGTCTGTGGCACGGGTAGAATTTAAAGGATCTTGCTGTGCCCATGGGACCCCTCCAGACCAAAACTCAGGCACACTGCGTGAGACCCTCTACCACGCCCTCTGAACCCCTCCAACCCTCCAGAGCCCCCACCCCTAAGCCTGCCGAGGGAGTAAGAACTTCTGTGATGCTCTCAGGACCCCCAGATCCAGCCCAGCCCAGGCCCAGCGAGTGCGTGGGAGAGCTTCCTGCTTCCCTCCACCCGCAGGACCTCTCCAGACCAAAACTCAGGAACACCATGTGAGTAAGACCGTCTACTGTGCCCTTAGGACCCCTCCATGCACCAGGAGCCCCGACCCCAAGCCCACTGAGTGAGAACTTATGCGACACTCTTGGGACACCCAGAACCAGCCCAGGCCCAGACCCAGCAAGTGTGTGGTACGGTTTCTGCGCTCACCTGTGTCCAGTGGGATGGGGGGAAAACAGAGAGGCACAACAGGTTCACTTCCAAGGGCTGCAGCAGGAATGAGCTGAACACACCTAAAGCCAGGCCAGGCATAACTGGATAAACTCAAACTTAATAAATCTGCATCCAAATTTCACTAGGTGCTAAGGTTGTAACTGCACAGCTCTCCACCAAAGGTCAGAGATCAGTGCTACACAAAAAGACAAAGACAAGGTGCAAAATGCAATCTCAGGCCTCGAGCCCACCCAGAATAAGTGCAGAGGAAACTAGCTCAGCTGAAATGAATTAATTAACAGCGTCAGAAGTAAAGAAAAAACAGCAGAAAGATATAGAGGAACTCAGAGCAGAATTAATTCCTAAAACAAAAAAGAAATCTCTGAATTCATAGCATCTGAAGTAAAGAATCAAATGCAGGGGCCGGGGAGATGGCTCAGTAG